ATCTAAGTTATTCCTGTGGTTTGGCCGGCTGACTCTGGTCACTGTGGCCCCGTCGGTGAATCATCCGGGGACCGGGCTTCTCCCCGACCCCCGTTTGCCCTCCACGCCGGAGCCTGCGCGCGCCCCCAGGCGCTGCCCTCTCCGCCCCCCAGCCCCCCTTGGTCGCTGCCCCCTGCGTGTGCACAGCACAGGTGCTCGTGCGGCCCCTGCGAGTGGGCACTTAGCTTGGCCGGTGGCGGGCGCTGAGCAGTGATGCTGCTGGGCGCGGGAGGCCGAGTCTCGGCTGGGAGTAGCCGGCAGTGGCGTTGCTGGGCTACTGCATTGTCTTATCTAAAGAGCAGTTTATTAGGGAGCAGGTCGGAGGCGTGAAGGACGCTTGTGTGGACACACGGGCAGGAAGCGCTGCCCGGAAAGGGACAGGCGAGCTGAGAGCTCGCGCGGTCCAGGCGGGGGGCCCTTGGGGCTGCGGCCTCGCCGAGGGTCCGTGCAGAGAAGCCGGGCAGGTGCCGGTCTGGGCGGGCAGGAGGCCGCTGCCCTCCGGCGGGAGAGAGGGTGGGAAGGACGCGGTGTGGGCCGGGGGACGGGGCTGCTGCCACATGTTTCGGGGCGCAGCCCACGTTGCCAGCCTGCTTTCCAGCATTCTTGATCTGCTCTTTTGTCAGGCCGGGCCTGGGCCTGGCGAGGCGGAGAAGCTGAGGACACTCACTTGCAAGGCTTTAAGTTTCTCTAAATGTGAGCGTTGGATGTGGTGCAGAACAGCACCCAGAGGTCGTCCACTGGGTGGGCCGGACCCCTGAGAGTTTTTCTCCTGGCGGGCAGACTGCCAGGCAAAGAATTGGGTGCCCAGGGAAATTTGAATATCAGAATAGTAATTTATTAGCATAAAAGGTAGCTGTAAGTATGTCCCCGCAATGCATCAGACATAACTATGGAAGCTACTTTTTGTCTGAAATTCAGATTTAACTGGGAGTCCTGTATTTTTTTTTAATTTTTTTTATTTTTATGTTTTATTTTGTATAGAAGAGCTGGTGCAGACCAGAGCTGGTTGGGGGTGCGCGAGAGGACTCCCCAGAGACAGAGTGAGGAGCCGAATAGGCAGATCCACTGAACCCCATTGCGGAGAATAGTGGGAAGGGGTGAAAGGGGGTCTGCTGTGCCCTGGGATCACCTCCCCGGCTGGGGATGGACTCAGCTGCAGTGGCTGTGGACAGCTTGATAGGCCGAGTCTTGACCCCTGCGCACCCGGGAGGCCCCAGCTGCATGTGTTTGAGAGTTAGTGAATCTGCTGCTGTTTTAAAAATACCGGCATCCACTTGGCTTGAAAGGTGCGTGATGGTGCGGCAGTGTGGGGTGGTTACTGCGTGCCGGGGGGGGTTCTCAGAAAGGAAGCTGAAGGGACCTTGAGAGGACTGAGACAAAGTGGAGGAGAAGCCTTTCCAGGTAGGAGACTGGCGTCAACGAGCTGCTGGAATGTGCCCAGGCTTGTTCAGGGAGTCGGACATCCAGGCTCGCGTGGCTTCAGCACCAGGTGATTCCTTTTGTTTTTGATAGCTGGATGGCACCAAGTAGAAACCACACATATCGAGCTAAATGAGGAGTTCTGTCTGGCACCCTTTAGTAGAGAGCGATTGAGCAGGTTCTGGGCGGAGGGGCGGACCGCAGGCTGCGTACAATCACATGTAAGAATGCTGCTCTGGGGCCTCCCAGGGGCACAGAGGCTTAAAGTGCAGAGCTGGCTGCACTGGCTTCAGCATGGGAGGGCCCCCAGGGCACAGCAGCCTCTCCTGTCTCCCCGCTGCTCCCTCAGTGGTGTACTCCATCAGTCGGCCTGTTCTGCACCCCACCTGTCTCTGGTGAGTCCTCTCACCCCACATCTCTGGCCTGCACGCAGTTCTGTATGCATGAAT